GATGAACAAATAGACTAACAGGTAAATGGACAAATGTACAAATAAACAAATATTATGTATTCCACTTGGCATCTTGAGAGAGGCATTGCGCTGCCAAGAGCGAAATGCTCGCAGCTAAAGGGATTTGAAAACAACAACATTCCACTTTGCAAGCATCCGAAATAACATTTTCGCTTTGAAACTATTGTGGTGTAGCAGTTAGGCCCTTTTGCCTTCGCATACAGAAGACCCGAGTTCGATTCCCGAGTGGGGATAATATTATAAATCGAGCATCTCGGTCTTTCTAATGAGGCTCCTCTCGGCGCAGGTTTAGCCTTGACAGCCAGGGTGGAAGCCCACCTCCTAAATGACTTAAACTGCGTCGAGTAGGGCGTAATACACCTACATCCATCCTCAACATGAAGTGCATGCCAGATCTGTGACAGACAGAAGCGATCATGGTTTGCCATTTATTCCTTTGCCAGGATTCTCTCAAGAAAGCTTTACCTGTATAAACATTATCCTCATCTTTCCCCTTCGCCTTGCAACATTGGTGTTTTCTTTTTTAATCCCGAATGCATGAAAGTACCTATCTATTAATAAGCGGTAGTGAGACGTATTTTCCTTATCAAGTATGCTCAGCCCGTGCCACTACTCTATTATTAGATTATTACTACTACCGTTGTGTATTCCGCGGTGATTTACCCGCCACAATCTGGCCATAAATCAGAAGTAATGTTACAGCCTTCTCGTTACACATGTCTGGTTATGTCCGGCGTGGAGACTGCAGACTTCGGGAAGGGGGGGAGGGTGATAGTATCTCAGAGCAGGGAATGGACTCGTGGTCAGTATGTGGAGTACTCACTCTTAAAGACTAGACTCATTTACATTATTGTTTTTATGATGACTTACGGTTTATATTATTTTGGGTTTCTTTGTTTCGTTTGTGATTTTTTTAAATAGTTTTTTTTTTAAAAGGGGGAAGGCCTGGGAGGGGAAAGGGTAGAGAGAGAAAGAGCGAGAGATAGAGAGAGATGGAGAGAGAAAAGAGATGGAAATAGAGAGGAAGAGAGAGAGATACAGAGACAGACAGACAAACAGACACACGCATACGCACACACAGACACACAGACAAACAGACAGAAAAACAGCGAAAGAGAGAGGAAGTGAAAGAAACAGAGAGACAGTGAGATGAGGAGGGGAAAGGAAAATAAATATATATAAAGATGGAACAACAATCAACCAATAATATATAGTCA